TTAAATAAGTTATTATGTACTTTATCTTTTACTTTTCCGGGGTGTATTATGAAATTATTGTAATTATCTTCCCTCATATTCACTCTAAAAATCATCTACATATTTTTCGCATGATATCGCTCCGTATACCCTTCGATGATTCATTTGAGTTTTATGGAAATTCTGCATGAAAATTCGACACGCACTCAGCTCGAACGGCAATTAACGCCACTTAAAATATGGGCGCATAAATTACTTAACTGAATTATATAGTCCCAAACACCGTAAAAGTAATTGTCGTGGAAATTTACTTTTAGACTTTTATGACCGCTTTGGCATTCGAACCAAAACTTCCGGTTTTTAGGACTACCCAAATATAGAAACCCTTCTCAAATGATGTGTATTTAAAGATGTATTTTTTGTAAAATGTTTATCAAGATTTTTCAGGAAAATCAGCCCTGCATACGTTTTTGGTCGTTTCATAGTGTTGGGCTTTGGTTACCTTGTGAACGGTCAAAGCGGCCGTAGCCCTTTGATCTTAGCAATTTTCAGCCGTCATTTGCTTGCTGTCCTGCTGAGGGATGTGGAAAATTGCTTGGGGGGCTCAAATAGTAGACGACACGAGATGCTCCAGGCTGTTTACTTTATTGGAAGGTAAAATTCCCGAAAATCGTACTCAATTTTATTTTAAATTTGTTACATAAACTTAGCAGACTCTTTCATTGCGGAAAGAATTAATTCTAAAGAAAAGGGAAAACTGGTAAGTTGCAGAACGGGCGAAGCGTCGTTTTAATAACACTTTATCCCAATAGAAACTTGAATAAGCGATGGAAACGGCGCTCTCTTAAAGTATTTAGCATTTTCATTAACCGGTGCCGTAAGTTTTGCTTTCAGGGCTCCCGTTTCTCTGCTCTCCGAACGATCTCCCCGCGCCTCCTGCAAATTGATTCGTTATAAATTCATGGCGCGGCCTTGGCTCCAGGGCGAAAATTTTCAACAATGCTCGTTTCGGATCGTTTCAACTTGAAAGCTACGAGAGATTTTCATTTCGAACTTCGTCAAATCTATTTTAGGTATTGTACACATTCGTTCAATACGAAAATTAATTAGTCAATTTTGCCAACCATGATTTTAACGATTTCAAGGGCAAATCAGATTTCATTGTTTTGATGTACTTTGTTCATTCTCAAAATATTCATGAAATTATCACCAATCATCATTTAAACGGTCTCCTTGTCAATGATGGTGTCCATTTTGAAATATCAGATTTAATTTTTGAGATACAATCTTTCTAAAGCATTCAAAATTTTTGGTAATTTTTTATTTTTCTTCGATCAACTTTAAATCTTCCTGAAAAATCGATTTCTTGGAAAATGTTCATGAAATTATCACCAATTATTAATTAAATTACCTACTTGTCATCGATGTGTCCATTTTAAAATATCAGTTTTAGTTCTTGAGATACAATCCTTTGATTGCATTCGAAATTTCTAATAATTTTTGATTTTCTTTTATCAACTTTCAGTCTTCTTAAAAAATCGATTTCTTGGAACATGTTCATGAAATTATCACCAATTATCAATTAAACTACCTACTTTTCAACGATGGTCTCCATTTTGAAATATCAGTTTTAGTTCTTGAGATACAATCTTTCTAAAGCATTCGAAATTTCTGGTAATTTTTAGTTTTTCTTCGATCAACTTTAAATCTTCCTGAAAAATCGATTTCTTGGAAAATATTCATGAAATTATCACCAATTATTAACTAAATTACCTACTTGCCATCGATGTGTCCATTTTGAAATATCAGTTTTAGTTTTTGAGATACACTCCTTTGATTCCATTCGAAATTTCTAATAATTTTTGATGTTCTTTTATCAACTTTCAGTCTTCCTAAAAAATCGATTTCTTGGAACATGTTCATGAAATTATCACCAATTAGCAATTAAACTACCTACTTTTCAATGATGGTGTCCAATTTGAAATATCAGTTTTAGTTCTTGAGATACAATCTTTCTAAAGCATTCGAAATTTCTGCTAATTTTTAATTTTTTTTCGATCAACTTTAAATCTTCCTAAAAAATCGATTTCTTGGAAAATGATCATGAAATTATCACCAATTATCAACTAAACTACTTACTTGTCAACGATGGTGTCCAATTTGAAATATCAGTTTTAGTTCTTGAGATACAATCTTTCTAAAGCATTCGAAATTTCTGGTAATCTTTAATTTTTCTTCGATCAACTTTAAATCTTCCTAAAAAATCGATTTCTTGGAAAATGATAATGAAATTATCACCAATCATCAATTACACTATCTACTTATCAATAGTGGTGTCCATTTTGAAATATCAGTTTTAGTCTTTGAGATACAATCTTTCTAAAGCATTCGAAATTTCTGATAATTTTTAATTTTTCTTCGATCAACTTCAAAACAACCTGAAAAATCGATTTCCTGAAAAATATTCATGAAATTATCATCAATTAAACTACCTCCTCAACAATGGTGTCCATTTTAAAATATCAGTTTTAGTTTTTGAGATATAATCTTTCCAATGCTTGCGAAATTTCTGGTAGTTTTTAATTCTTTTTCGATCAACTTTAAATCTTTCTGAAATATAGACTTTTTGAAAAATGATAATAAGATTATCACCAATTATCAATTAAACTGTCTGCTTGTCAATGATGATGTTCATTTTGAAATATCAGTTTTAATTTTTGAGATACAATCTTTCTAAAGCATTCGAAATTTCTGCTAATTTTTTATTTTTCTTCGATCAACTTTAAATCTTCCTAAAAAATCGATTTCTTGGAAAATGACCATGAAATTATCACCAATCATCAATTACACTATCCACTTATCAATAGTGGTGACCATTTTGAAATATCAGTTGTAGTCTTTGAGATACAATCTTTCTAAAGCATTCGAAATTTCTGGTAATTTTTAATTTTTCTTCGAACAACTTTAAATCTTCCTGAAAAATCGATTTCTTGGAAAATGTTCATGAAATTATCACCAATCATTATTTAAACGGTCTCCTTGTCAATGATGGTGTCCATTTTGAAATATCAGTTTTAGTTCTTGAGATACAATCTTTCTAAAGCATTCGAAATTTCTGGTAATTTTTAATTTTTCTTTGATCAACTTTGAATTTTCCTGAAAAATCGATTTCTTGGAAAATGTTCATGAAATTATCATCAATTATGAATTAAATTACCTACTTTTCAACGATGGTGTCCATTTTAAAATATCAGTTTTAGTTTTGGAGATACAATCTTTTTAAAGCATTCGAAATTTCTGATAATTTTGATTTTTATTCGATCAACTTTAAATCTTCCCTAAAAAATCGATTTCTTGGAAAATGATCATGAAATTATCACCAATTATCAACTAAACTACTTATTTGTCAACGATGGTGTTCATTTTGAAATATCAGATTTAGTTCTTGAGATACAATCTTTCTAAGCATTCGAAATTTCTGGTAATCCTTAATTTTTCTTCGATCAACTTTAAATCTTCCTAAAAAATCGATTTCTTGGAAAATGACCATGAAATTATCATCAATTACACTATCTACTTATCAATGGTGGTGTCCATTTTGAAATATCAGTGTTAGTTCTTGAGATACAATCTTTCTAAAGCATTCGACATTTCTGGTATTTTTTAATTTTTCTTCGATCAACTTTAAATCTTCCTAAAAAATCGATTTCTTGGAAAATGATCATGAAATTATCACCAATTATCAACTAAACTACTTACTTGTCAACGATGGTGTCCAATTTGAAATATCAGTTTTAGTTCTTGAGATACAATCTTTCTAAAGCATTCGAAATTTCTGGTAATCTTTAATTTTTCTTCGATCAACTTTAAATCTTCCTAAAAAATCGATTTCTTGGAAAATGTTCATGAAATTATCACCAATTATCAACTACACTACCTACTTGTCAATGATAGTGTCCATTTTGAAATATCAGTTTTAATTTTGGAAATACAATCTTTTTAAAGCATTCGAAATTTCTGATAAAATTTTGATTTTTCTTCGATCAACTTCAAAACTTCCTGAAAAATCGATTTCTTGGAAAATGATAATGAAATTATCACCAATCATCAATTACACTATCTACTTATCAATAGTGGTGTCCATTTTGAAATATCAGTTTTAGTCTTTGAGATACAATCTTTCTAAAGCATTCGAAATTTCTGATAATTTTTAATTTTTCTTCGATCAACTTCAAAACAACCTGAAAAATCGATTTCCTGAAAAATATTCATGAAATTATCATCAATTAAACTACCTCCTCAACAATGGTGTCCATTTTAAAATATCAGTTTTAGTTTTTGAGATATAATCTTTCCAATGCTTGCGAAATTTCTGGTAGTTTTTAATTCTTTTTCGATCAACTTTAAATCTTTCTGAAATATAGACTTTTTGAAAAATGATAATAAGATTATCACCAATTATCAATTAAACTGTCTGCTTGTCAATGATGATGTTCATTTTGAAATATCAGTTTTAATTTTTGAGATACAATCTTTCTAAAGCATTCGAAATTTCTGCTAATTTTTTATTTTTCTTCGATCAACTTTAAATCTTCCTAAAAAATCGATTTCTTGGAAAATGACCATGAAATTATCACCAATCATCAATTACACTATCCACTTATCAATAGTGGTGACCATTTTGAAATATCAGTTGTAGTCTTTGAGATACAACCTTTCTAAAGCATTCGAAATTTCTGGTAATTTTTAATTTTTCTTCGATCAACTTCAAAACAACCAGAAAAATCGATTTCCTGAAAAATATTCATGAAATTATCATCAATTAAACTACCTACTTGTCAACAATGGTGTCCATTTTAAAATATCAGTTTTAGTTTTTGAGATATAATCTTTCCAATGGATTCGAAATTTCTGGTAATTTTTAATTCTTTTTCGAACTTTAAATCTTTCTGAAAAATAGACTTTTTGAAAAATGATAATAAGATTATCACCAATTATCAATTAAACTGTCTGTTTGTCAATGATGATGTTCATTTTGAAATATCATTTTTAATTTTTGAGATACAATCTTTCTAAAGCATTCGAAATTTCTGGTAATTTTTAATTTTTCTTCGATCAACTTTAAATCTTCCTAAAAAATCGATATCTTGGAAAATGATCATGAAATTATCACCATTTATCAACTAAACTACCTACTTGTCAACGATGGTGTCCATTTTTAAATATCAGTTTTAGTTTTTGAAATACAATCTTTCTAATGCATTCAATATTTCTGGTAATTTTCCATTTTTTTCGATCAACTTTAAAGCTTCCTGAACAATCGATTTCTTAGAAAATGTTCATGAAATTATCACCAATTATCAACTAAACTGCCTAGTTGTCAACAATGGTGTCCATTTTGAAATATCAGTTTTAGTCTTTGAGATACAATCTTTCTAAAGCATTCGAATTTTCTGGTAATTTTTAATTTTTCTTCGATCAACTTCAAAACAACCTGAAAAATCGACTTCCTGAAAAATATTTATGAAATTATTATCAATTAAACTACCTACTTGTCAACAATGGTGTCCATTTTTAAATATCAGTTTTAGTTTTTGAGATATAATCTTTTCAATGCATGCGAAATTTCTGGTAGTTTTTAATTCTTTTTCGATCAACTTTAAATCTTTCTGAAAAATAAACTTTTTGAAAAATGATAATAAGATTATCACCAATTATCAATTAAACTGTCAGTTTGTCAAAGATGATGTTCATTTTGAAATATCATTTTTAGTTTTTGAGATACAATCTTTCTAAAGCATTCGAAATTTCTGGTAATTTTTAATTTTTCTTCGATCAACTTCAAAACATCCTGAAAAATCGATTTCTTGGAAATCTTCATGAAATAATCTCCAATTATCAATTAAACTGTCTACCTGTCAACGATGTGTCCATTTTGAAATATCAGTTTTAGTTTTGAGCCACAACCTTTCTAATTCATTGGAAATTTCTGGTATTTTTTAATTTTTCTTCGATCAACTTTAAATCTTCCTGAAAAATCGATTTCTTCAGTTATCAAGTAAACTTGAGTACTCAAGTAAACTAAAGTTCTTGAAATACAACTTTTCTAATGTATTCGAAATTTCTGGTAATTTTTAATTCTTTTTCGATCAACGTTAAACCTTTCTGAAAAATTGATTTTTTGAAAAATGATGTAAAGACAAACTAAATTTCTTGATTTTGATATACTTTAAGAATCACATTGAAAATTCCCTTAATTAAAGTAAATATAATTTTAGAAACATAAAAAATAAACTTTACTTTACTTTTTTTAGCTTCTATTTTGATTGAGTTAATTGGCAGCAAAAGTTCAGCACTCCCCATTTGGAGGCTGATCGTTCAATTGCATATGCATGAACTGGTTTGACGCGGGCGATTGCTACACGAAAGGAGTCGCGGAAAAACTTTATTGCCAATAGAACCAATTATTTATTAAGTAGTCTTCCCCTGTTAAATTTGCATGTATATTTTATAGTTATCTTAAAATATTCAAGCCACCTTACTTCAGTATCAACACCTTTGATACAAATCCCATTTAAAATAAGATCATATTTTCACAGTAAATTACTCTTCCTATAAAACGTTATAGCTAACTCCAGAAATTGGTGCCGACGTCGTTCGTGAAAAAGAAATAATTCCATTTCACATTCCGTCCTGAATTCCGCTCAATTTCGTCGAAGAAAGACACGGCCATCGTCGACGTACCGTCGCGGAATTCAAAATGAGACGTCCACGATGATTATTTTAATAATCGAAAAGGAACACCCTTCCACCATTTAACGGCACCCGCTCCCCGGTGTAATTCCGCACTTTACCGAAACTAATAGTAACTTAGGTTTATATCAATAACTGTCTCTTTTGTACCGAGCCGGAGCCGGTCGTGAATCACGTTACGATTTGATTTAAAGTTTAAGTGGCATTTCAATATCCGTGTTCACAAGTCAGTAGTGGCTGTGAATTATACGCCACGTGCTGAAAATTGCCGCTTACACTCGGTTCGGGGCCTCTGTTTTCACGCCCTTTGGGAGGAAATAGGGTAGGTGAATTGATGGGGTGGTCAGTGGCACCCCCGGGGTTGCCTGCAAAATGTTACGATCGTCTCGTCTCTCGTATTTTTGATGTCTAGAGGTCGAATTTTCACTGATTTTCAAAAATAAATAATGGAGTTAATAGGTTTTTAAAATTCAAGAACTTTGTATGCATTTTAAACTTTACAGAATGTTTAATTTACCATTACCAAATTGAGAAATTCACCTCAATCTGTAAACATATGGTGATTTACATAGATTACTGGCTTTTACCTAATGCGTGTCTACTAACTTACAATTGAGACTTGCTACACTCATTATGTCTTGATGATATTAAGAATTAGATACTATTGTACTATTAGCAATTTCCAGAATGCGTAATTTGATTCTGCAGTTGCAGGAAATTGTAGTTTTCTACCTTTCTGAAGTAATGTTTGAAATTCCACTTCGATATTCGGTTTTGATAAAGATTTTTCATCCATATTACAAAGTTCTGTTGTCCAAAGTTATTTATATATGATGTTGTTTCCTTGGATACTGTTAACTACATCTGCATATCATAGCAGCAGACTGAAGACTTTGAATTATAATTATATACACGATGTTACAAGCTATCGCAGCAGACTGCTATCTTTAGGATGAGTGCTACAGATTCTAACCAAAGATAGCAGATTGCAAACTATATATGCCAACTGCAAAGCGTGGCTGTAGACAGGTAAAATGAAAAATAATACTAACAAGATGCTGCAGGCAATAGCTACTCTCTGCATACTATAATCTTTCGCTGCAACTCGTACCAGCGCATCTAAGACTGTAGATTACAGCTACAAATTACAAATTAAACCATCGCTGCAGACTGCATACAATACCCTAAACTAACTACTACAGATCATAGCTAAAAAGAGCAGAGAGCAAAGTACACCTGCTGACTGTAACACATATATACAGCTACAAATAGCTAACAACAAATCATATTTTCAAACTGCGTATTGCAAATTGTAGCAACATGCTGGAAACTATAGCAAGATACTTCAGACTATAGTTACTCCCTGCGTACTATAACTACTAAACGCGATCTAAGACTGCTGATTTCAGTTACAAATTCCATGTTAAACCCTATCGCTATAGACTGCATACAATAATCGTAGATTGAAAACTGCAAATGATACATACAGATTGCTTGATAGATTGCATACATAGCTGCTCATTGCATACTGAAATCTATACCACGATGTGATATCAGACAGGAGTGTTACGAGATAACACGCTTAATAACTAGAGCTAGTAAAAATAATTTTAATAAATGCTAGAATATACGTTAAGAGATTTAAGAATGGTGTTAAAAGATATTAGGGATTAAGTGAGAGTTGTTAGTACCGATGGTAATGGATGCCATTGAATATGTTCTCAAAACAAGGAATGATATTAAGGATAATATCAAAAAATTTAAGAAATGTTTAGAGTTGATACATATTGCAGAAGAGCTTAAGAATATAAGTACGAAGGCTTTCACGGCTAGTGTGAATTGAACTAAAATTAGAACTAAAACTAGAACTAACACTAGAAACAACTTCGAACCAGTTTCTGAAGAAAGTTGCTTAAAAGATAAGGTCTTAAAAGACGCACGGCAAAACCTGAAAGTTTTTAGTGTTAGTTCTAGTTTTAGTTCTAATTTTAGTTCAAGAGCTTAGGATTGTTAGGAGTGTTCGTTTTTTGCCTATAACTTCTTCAGTTTTCATTTTTTCGTGAATCTGAAAAAACATTCTTAAGACAACTTGTTGTCTTAAGAATGTTCTCTAACGTTTCGTTTTCGTGAAACTATCATCAGGTTTTTTTTTTTTAATAATTCAGTTTTTTTTTAAATGAAGTACACTCTGTGACATATCATTGAAATCAGAATTAATTATCCTATTTTTTGGTGTGAAAATCAAATATGGCGTTCATAAAAAAAAAACTGATGATAGCTTTACGAAAACGAAACATCGGAGAAAACTTCTAGTTGTGTCATGACATTTTTCATGTTTTTTCAGATTCACGAAAAAACGAAAAATAAAGAAGTTATAGGCAAAAAACGAAAAAGTCATTTTTTTGTTTTTCGGCCATATTTTAAAAACTAAAACGGCTAAATCCAAAAGCCTAGTTGAAAAATGATAAGCTCTAAGATACGCAACTTTGCCCCATTTAACCATTTCTGTATCTCTTATGGTTTCTGAGATCCCAATGGTGGGGGTCGAATTTGAATTACCCTGTATACCCAATTTTCTTTCTTTGTATGTACAGTGATACAATAAAGTCTACATACAACTCATAAAATGATAATATCTCAGTTACTGAAATGTAATTCAATGAATTTTTTAAACGAAGGATATTAGAAGTCTATATTATTTTAATATAAAGTCGAAAAAGTTCGACTTGTGCTGCGAAGTGAAGGCTACAGCAGTAGATTTAGTCGCTCGTCTCTCAAGACGGCTAAACCCGAATTATTCTAGTTTTAGGTATTGTGTTAGTTCTAGTGATAGTGCAAAACTAGAACTAACACTAGATCTAGAACTAGTAACATTCGGATTTAGCCGTACGTCTCTCAAGACGGCTAAACCCGAATTTTATTCTAGTTCTAGGTCTTGTGTTAGTTCTAGTGTTAGTTCTAGTTTTAGTTCAATAAAAATATGTAACATAATGATATCTTATGCTAACTGTGCTACTTACCACTGTCTCTAGAACTAACATTACACCTAAAAGTAGAAACATTCAGGTTTAGCCGTTTTAAGAGACGCATGGCTAAACGGAATGTTTTTAGTTCTAAGTCTAGTGCTAGTCTAGTTTTATTTGTTATTCAGCGTTAGATAATTGTATATTTTTATTGAGCTATAACGGACATTGATAGACTTTTTTTAGGACTGTATGTAGACTTTTTTGAGTTAAAGATATGGTTATGTTTTGTGTTCCCCTTGATTAACAATAACTTATATAGTTTTTATGTAAAATATGGAAATAATATGGACTTTTTACATGTTTTGTTAAAAAATTTCGATGAATTATTTTTTGTGTGTGTAAAACTGGCTATTATGTAATAGTGGGGGAAATAAGCGTGACTTCACTTAGGTTCACTGCATCTATTCAGTGAACAGAGTATAGTTTGTTGTTTTTTACTAAATTCAGTGTGGTTTTGAACGAAAAGTTCGCTGAGGGGTGATCAAAATCTTTGAGGGCCTTTTGAACGTTATACAGCCTGATTCAGAGTAAACGCCTTATTTTTTTAGCCACACTATGGGTACTACTTTCAAAATATTTGGCAGTAATATGTTTTAGGGCATTCTCTACACGATGGTGATACCACATTTTCAATTGGACGAATTATTTCAAAATGGCGACTGTCAACTTTTTTTTTTAAAACAATTAAGCTTTATTTTGTAATAAACATCTACTTATTTATTTATTTGGACAAAAATAACATCGAGTGTAAAACATTCATGCGCTACTAGACTAAAATGTTAGGTTGCTTTTTGATGGGGAAAGAAATGAATTTTTAACAAAAACAAAATACTATCGTATAAAGAATGTTTT